CCGGCTAGTTTTTTCTATTAGTAGAGTTGGGGTCTTGCTCTTGTTCAGGCTGTCCATTTGTGTTACTTGTTGAACATTTAGCAGTCATCAGAAAGTATCTGTAGACTAGGGGAACCAAACTTACCCTTTCCCTCTCTTTTTCTCTGTGGCCTGGGCAGTCTGTGAGCTTAAGGTCATTCAGAGATGTTTGTGTCTGGTTTGGCCTGAGGAGTGGGCAGAGGCAGGGTAGGGGCTGTATAGATAGAGGTGTGTTCATGAACCACTCCCTGCCATCCAGTTCTCTCTCCCAAATGGTCTGGCCAGTCCTGGTTCTTATGGCCATTGTGTCATTCCCCTCAGCTGCAAGGGAGACTGGGATGGTTTTTTGTATTGTTCCTTAGGGAGAAAATCACTTGGAGGAAATACATCAGTGCTTCTGAGTGCAGAGTATTTATTGACACGTCAGTCAGAGGAGGCTTTTAAACAACATATATGTATCCTTTTAGTGAGGAATAAATCTACCAATGCATCTCATAACTCCATTCTGCAGCTTCCATTTCCTGGAAGGTACATGGAGTTTAGTGGTTAGGGATGGGGGTTTTGAGCTAGGATTTTGGAGAGACTGTTTTTAGCCTGTCCTTGGATTTGGGCCAGGCTTAGAAATCTGTTGAAATAGCTTTCTTTAGCTGCTAAAATTGGGATAGATTCATGACTGAGTGGGGAGGGTACAGAGTAGGGTCTCTGCTTGAGGACCTAGAGTGCCTGAGTTTCAGCCTCCCTCCCATTTCCCCATTGCCTGAATGTGGGGTCCCACACTGTTATCATGGAGTAGGCTTGGCAACAGATGGTCCTTGGAGTGACATAACTTAAGGCTTAAGTTTTCTTTTCTGCTTTTGTTAGAATCTGCTCCTGCTCTTCTCAGGAATACTTTCCATTTTAGCACTTGGGGTGGAGTTGTCTTTCTTCACCCCCTTCCCTATTCAGCTCCCTAGTGCCCACCCCCACCCTCCAGACTCCTTTTCTAGGGAGGCATAGAAGCTGTCCCTGCAGAGAGCTTCAGGTAAAAATGAGCATCTAGCCACAAACTTCAGGCTTTTTTTTTTTTTTTTATTTTGAGGCAGTCTCACTCTGTTGTACAGCTAGAGTGCTAGACTGTCACCAGAGCTCACAGCAACCTCTAACTCCCGGGTTCAAGTGATTCTCCTGCTTTAGCTTCCCAGGTTGCTGGGACTGCAGGCACCTGCCACTATACCTGGCTAATTTTTCTATTTTTAGTAGAGCTGG